TTTCTTAGAAAACTGCTCGAGTTTCTTTGGTAATCAGTAGATTTTTAGCTCGCGTATGTGCTTTGATGCCATTAACACCTTCCATTAGTGTAACATTATTGTAAATGCTATTACATACGTAGTACTTCTCATTATGTACTTGTGCCTTCTATTTTCTCCTTTATCTAATTTATGATGCTGTTGTCAAATATAAATGGTTTATGTTTTGATTCATTGTCTTGCTTATATGATTCGTCGTACTTGTCCACAATTTGTAGTCTCAAGGTCTACAATGAAGCGAAGATTGAATGCTTTGAAACTCAAGTGGCAATCAAGCAGAAAAGGGAAGCAGCATCAGAATGTAAAGAAGAGGAAACAGAATAATAAAGAACCAGTTGGAAATGAATCATCGCAGCAGAACTTGGCGAATAATCCTGCTAATTCAGCATCTCACACGGAAACTGTAGGGGAGTGTATAATGGGAGCAGACCAGCTTACTTTGCCAAATCATGTATCATCCACCCCCGACACTGTTAGCAACTTGACCTTGGACACAATGGAAACCCTCAGAGAGAACTTAATGGAAACTCTAGGCGATATAGATCATTTTCAATGCGCCCACGAGCATTTGGATGGTGCAAATGAGTGTACATAGTCAAATGCTTTGCAACAAAATGAAAATAACTCAAGCAACTTTACAGTGAAGGCCACTTATAAAGATGATGTAGTTAGATTTGATTTCTCATTGAGTTACAGTATTGACCAGCTCAAGGAAGAGTTGGCCAACCAGCTAGAACTCGAGGTTAACACATTCAAAATAAAGTATCAAGATGAAGAGAAACATCCGGTACTAGTGACCCGCATCTCTAACTTAGAGCATGCCTTAAATCTTTCAAGATCATCTAATGATAGCAGTGTTGTTAGATTGTTCTGAAAACATGATATCTTTATTATATTAGAACATTTGTAAACAACAATGAAAAAAGTGTGTGTGTGTGTGCGCGCATGCTCGAACATGAGAAAGAAGGATAGGTTTTATGGTACCATGACAACATCTCTAGCAGCCAGTGCAAGAATATCAGCACATGAAACAGTTCCAGGGCAGAACAATTCTAGCTCTCTTTTAGCCGTCTCTATTACTTCAAATCCTCCTAGAGATTTATTTGCAGGATCTGCTTTCTCAGTTCCATCCCCTTCTACTAGCACTGATGCATCACAATCCTGCAAGAACATAGCTATAATATAGCATTTAATTATCTAGCATCTATTAAATGGCTCTTCTTAGGAAGCTGCCGCCACTTTAGTATAATGTACAGATAGATGGATAGAGGGATGGATAGATACAAGAGACGGAAACTCACGTTGACGGAGCAGTCATGGAAGAGCAAGCGTAAAAGTTTCCCCGGAACAGTCGGATCAGTAGAAGCAGCTCATCTTACAGCATCCCGGACTACAAACTCGACACCCGGGCACGACAATGCATATAATTCAAAGGAGAATCAATGAATATAACAAGGAAACAATCCTAAAACAAGGATTAAAACCAAGAATGTTGGTTTTTGAAGACAATTAGCTTCAACAGGTACATTAATCATTTTGTATACCATTCCCAAGTCAATGTAGCATAAATTATAAACTCTTACTCTCGTTATATATATAATTTTTGTATGTCAGAACTGGATGCAATGTAACATGCAGCTTGTTTTATGTATTTATAGAAGGTGAGAAAGAAAGTTCAAAGAAAGCTTATTTATTGATTTAAAGTTGCATTTATTATGTTTTTGGAGTTGATAGGTAGGAAGCTGAAGAGAGAGGGCTGTAAATTTTAATGGAGACACTGACAATTTAGAGGGCTGATGAATAAAACAGAGCTGGCAGAGGGAATTAATGGTGGGTTTTCATACCAATGCTTTTACAGGTTGTGTAAGTAGTGAGTTACTACTGTGATGTCCAACTACCCTAACCAAATTACTGGTATGTATACATGTTTATTATGATAGGTAGAATTTGCATGATTTTTGGGTTACTTGATGTTGAAAGTTCATGGTTTTTGTTTGGTTTAAGTTTTTGCTGCTTTCATCTTCTGGATCAGGGTATTATAGTCTTAAATCATCTAATCTTTACTAAGAGCATAAATATTGGTGAGGATGGTTTTGTCCTCTCAAACATTCTCTATCCTTACCCTATTTTGACACCTCATACTCTCTTTCATCCACCTTATTTCCCACTATCTCTTTCCTCTCTTCCATCCTCTTCCATTTATTTTTCCCACATCAAAGGGTATCCTCTTGATATATTTTATACTATAAATATGGCCCCACCTTCAAATTTTTTCTTTGTAAAAGATTATTTTTTATTGATTTCTATAATGATAAGGTCTAATAATGATAATAATAATAATAATTAGGATTCGATAATTAGCATACATAATAAAAATTACCTTACCTATATATATTTTGATATAGTAACACATCAAATTAGGAATAAAAACACTAATTGATACACTAAAGTACAACAAATACAAGAAATTAAAGACAAATAACTAATTATCCTCTTTTTTCCTTACCGATTACTAGTATGCTCAAATCTTGCCCATAAATATTCTGCCAAATTCATATTTCTTCCATAACTATGATTATTTTCATCCATTACAAAAGAAAATTATAAAAAGAGAGGAAAGAGAGGAAGGAGTGAAAAAGATGCAAAATTGAAGTGTATAAAAGATGGCCAAAATTAGGTTCATTTTATAGAGAAAATAAAAATACAACCGTTGGTAAAATTAGTTTTTAAAAATATGTTACCGTTTGTGATTAATTACCGTTATAATTTTTTTGAGTTTATAAAATTATGTAACAAATAAACAAATAAAAGTTGACACTTCATCCTCTTGGCACAAAGGACAAGGTAATCCTCTTCTCCTTGAGGATCCTCTACATTACCCAACATCAAAGAGGACTACTCCAAATCAGCAAAAAAACCCACACAAGAGGACATATATCCTCTCCAATAATCTTGCTCTAAAGAGACAGTTATACTATGGATTTGCTGAAAATTGTGCCGGAATAATATTGACTCATTGACTTACATTTATTATTTGTAGGATAGTGAATATAATGATATAACTCCGTTTCTTTGAGCTGTTTTTGTTTGGAATGTTGTAATGAAGAGGGAAACTAAATACGTGTGAGATATTCTTAAATTAGTTTCGACGTGTGATTCAAAATTTATAGATGTTTAGATATTTGTAGCCTAGTGGCGGAATTGGCCTTGTGCCTGGTGGGTCAAATGAGTCACCAAGGCCCAAAAAAAATTCTAATTTTTTTCTTAAAAAAAAAAAAAAAATATTCGAAGATTTACACTCCGAGCTAGACGAATTATTGATACACTCCATTGCTTAAGGTAATTTCTGTTTTCTAGCAAATGTCTGTAATTTGATTGAATATTTACTATGGCTTATCACTTGATTGTGAAATTCTAGTATTTGATGATGATAATAACGATGATGTTAGGAACAAAGTTCAGTCTTTTCTTGAAAAGTTTGCCTCTCACTTCAATTCATCATCCTCTTGTTTCTTTTTCTCCTTTACCCATCTTTTCTTTCTCAACCCAACATCAATTTTGTTCATCAGGTCTTCTATTTGTCTTCAATTTAACTTTTTGATTGTTAATTTTGATCTGGGTACTTGTAATTTGTTCCTAATTGAATTGCGTATGTGTAAAATTTCATGATTTAATTTTTTAATGTTATTTTTAATGTTTATTTGGTTGTAGAACGAAGAAAGCTAAGATTGCAGGTGAGAAATTGTGTTCCTGCCCTGCTCCTGCTCTTCCTCTTCGCTTCATCTTCACCAAATCACCAGACGGCCAGATCAGCAGACCTCCGCCACTGCTTCCAGTGCTGGTCACCTCCTCCTGCTCTTCCTCTTCTTCATCTTCGCTCACTGCTGCTGCTGCACACAGGCGGCTCGCCGGCTCCACTGCCTCCACACATTGATGGTGTTGTTGCTCTTGATTGGGTATTTGGGTTGTCGGTGATCATCGAAAGCTTCCTCCTCTCTCTCCTATTCTCATTTTGCTAGTAAGTTGATTTCTAATTTTTAGTTAAAAATTCTAATCTTCAATTTAATTCAGTCTAATTAGTTAATTCTATTAAATTATTTGATATAAGTTTAAGGGAAATTGGAGGTTGTCGAGACACAGTGATTGGATTCTTCTCTCTATTTCGTTGATTTTGTTAGTTTTTTGGTAAAAGTTTGAAACTTTAGTTGATTTTGTTGTTGTTTGTTTGTAAACTTTGAACCTTTTGTTAATGTTGTTGGGTTTTTGTCTTTTTGATGAAATTTGAACCTTTTTGACCATGTGATTATGTGAATTGTGGTCAGTGTTTATTTAGGGTGTTTATTAGCTTGTCAATTTTAGTCTTGTCAATTTTAAGCTTGTTAATTATTAGTTAGTATTGTAATCTTGTCAATTTTCTATTTGGATGATCTTGGTAAGAAATTTTTTTTTTACATATTTGGTTATCGATTGTGACTCACCAGTCGGAAGTTCCTGGGTCCGGAAGTTCCTGGGTCCGCCAAGGGTTGTCAATAGGGCGGGGTGGGCGGATTTTAGTCTTCCCATCCTCATCTCAATCTAAAATTTTCATATCCATCCCCATCCCCATCCCCGCGACGGGTCTAAAATTCATCCCCATCCCCGCCCCCACTTGAATAATCACCCCCACCTAATCCCCACCTAAGACCTGCCTAATCCCGCCTCCCAAATACACAATCCTTCATAATTAATAAAGATTGCAAAAAGAAAAAAATTATTATTAATATTACACATTCTATTGTTTATAATATAAGTGTATTACAAAGTATTATATTTACGATTTTATTTTACATAATTTTTTTTATAAAATAGTATAAAAGTATATAATTTTGTTTTTAAAAATATATGGATGTGGGGATGGGGCGGGTACGAAGTGGGGTGGGTGGAGATGGAGCGGGTACGAAGTGGGGTGGGTGGGGATGGAGCGGGTACGAAGTGGGACGGGTGGGGCGGATAAACCTAAAATCCACCCCGCCTCATCACCCATGGCGGGTATGGTTTTTATCTCCATCCCCGCCCCATCACCCGCCAAACCAAGATTCATCCCCGCCCCAACGCAGCTCTCTTATTTGACCCGCCCCAACGCGGGTCTCTTATTTGACCCGCCCCACTGACATCCCTAGATATGTGCTTTATAAGTGGGTAAAAGACACTTGTAATTTGAAAAAACAAAAAAAAAAAAAAAAAAAAAAAGGTAGAGAAACAGAGTGTAATTGGATAGAGTTGACATATTTTGACTCATATAGTATAAGCTACTCCGTATAAAATTAAATGCTTGTTGTTACTTTATTTTTCTTAAATAAATAAATAAATATCTGGACTAATAGATTTAGAATACTTTTTTTTATTTTTAACTAGTAGATATACAAACCAACAGAGTTGTTTTTTTTTTTTTTTAAGGAACATACCAACATAGTATGACTATGGGCCGTTACTGTTAACTTAGTGAAGTATAACTTGAGGTTCAGGTTCAATGCATAATAATTCATTGAGGCTCAGGTTCAAGGCATAATTACTTAAGTGGGGTCCAGAAAAGCTGTGATGCATTTATAAATCTATGTGGTCATTAGTTCTTCTTATTAACCACAACTAATTATTTGCGGTTGAGGTTCACGTTGAAGTTGATAGTTGTGATAATTTCTTGATGGAATCTTAAAGCTGCAACTACTGAGTAGTATTTATCTTCTCTCTTTGTTCCTTTATTTCCCAGTTTATATTTCTGTAGTTTGAAATTAAAATTAAAAGAGGTGGTTTTTGGTGTTCTTGTTGAAGCTAAGGAAATGATAACTTGCGGAGAAGTAGATTCTAAAGGTCACTTGGAATTGAGGGAGGATCCAGAGGCATGGATTAAAAATAACCCTCCTTCTCGTCTAGCCTTGCGTTGTTATGAAAAGGAAGAGGTAGGAGAATCAATAGGTGAGCTCACACAGCTCATCCGCCTGGAATTCTTGTACTGTGATTCCCTGAAATGTGTGTCTAACACCATCACTAGGCTTCACAAATTGGAGCACTTGCAATTTTATAAGTGTTATTGTTTGGAAGAATTGCCGGCAAATATAGGGCAGTTGGTGAGCCTTACTCATCTCAAGCTTGATTATTGCGAGAACATAAAGTTCCTTCCTGATAGCATTGTAAATCTATCCAATTGACTTATTTAACTCTCTCTTCCTGTGATTCCTTGTTGAATTGCCGGCAAATATAGGGCAGTTGGTGAGCCTTACCCATCTCAAACTTAAATATTGCAAGAACATAAAGTCACTTCCTTTGAGCATTGCAAATCTATCCAATTTGACATCTTTATCTCTCTTTTCCTGTGAGTCCCTGGTTGAATTGCCGGCAAATTTGGATGGGTTGGCCCATTTATGTCTTCTTGATATTCAATCATCCAAAATCAAGTGTCTTCCTTGGAGCATCACGAAGCTACGCAAACTCCGACATCTAATGTTGCCCGAACATTTCAGACTCGAAACGTTGCCATATGACTTGAATCATTCGGTCATCATTTCTGTTAAAGATAGGCATGTTCGCAAATCCTGGGAGGAACTTAAAACAGAGATAGGAGAATTGCCCATTCCTTTTGGTGGAGGTAAGTTTACATTGCCAATGCTTTTACTTTTACAGTTTTACTCCAAATTTGTTTGTTCTAGTTGACGTGGTAGTTATACTATGTAATAATCAAGCTTATCTCTTCTCTCCCCCTCCTACAATGGCAGAAATAAGAAATGATGCAGCTCAAAATCCCTCTATCATATCTCCTCCTGGTTATCTCCGATTGAAGGAGGATGATCCTTCGCAATGGATTATTAATAACAGAAATTTACTCATGTTGGTTCGATTTTTGGACTTGGAAAATGTTAAGGAGTTAACAGATTCCATAATGCAATTCAGTGAGCTCACCCACCTCTATCTCTACTTCACTGATCATATTTGCCTCCCGGATAACTACTTTGTCACATTCACAAGGCTTACACATCTCTCTCTCGACTCTTCTGATGTTGAAATTGATGAGTCCGTTATTCACAGCTTAAGCAAGCTATCCAATTTACAAACACTACATCTGCGATTATCCATTTATGATAGCTTGGAAAATTTTAATATGCCTGTCAGCCTCAAACATCTCTCTTTATCATCTTGCAATATGAGGCCACTTTATGATAGCTTGGAAAAGTTAACTAACTTAAGGAGTCTGGATCTCAATTCCTGTGATTATTGCGAGTCATTGCCACCATGTATGTATATTCACAAACTCAGGCTTGTGGATTGCTCCTTCGAGTCACTTGACTCACTTCCTATTGGCCTACATCACCTGGAAATTTTGTTTTTCAAAGATTATAATGACCTGAGATGTATCTTTGAAAAATGTTGGAATAAATTAGTCAACCTGGAGACACTCTCCATTACATGTTCTAAAATGGAGTTCTTTCCTGAAGATATAGCAAGACTCCACAACTTGCAAGAATTACAACTCAAAGACTGTATCAGCCTCGAAAAACTACCATCAAATCTACATGAGTTAGTCAATTTGCATACTCTTGATATCAGCGTCACCAGAATCAAGACCCTTCCTCCTAGTTTTGTGAAGCTGCGCAATCTACTACACTTAATCCTCCCCAAGTGTTTTAACTTTGAAAGATTGCCAAGGAATCTGAAGCAAGTGTCCATCATCGATGACACAGAAGAAGCATACTACAAGAGCAACGCCTATGATGCTTCCCTTTACCAAGCCTCAGCCTCCGATGAAAGCGAAGATGAAGTAACTGTTGTTCCTAGAGGTAATTAAATGTTGCCAGTAATTCATATGTCATAACTTGCATTTTTTTTATCATCATTGATGACACGGATGATGCATACTTCACACATATGAATAACTCTCGTATCAAAATGCCAACAGTAGAAATTCATGAAACTGTCCCTGATGAGCAGACATCAGCAGATCCTTTCAACAGTATAAGTATGGGCTCTATTGAGCACATAACAACAGCACAAGGTGGTATTGAGCAAGATAATGGTGAGAACAGTCATCATGATTTAGAAAATGGGCAGAAACAGGTCCCTCAACACAATAAGGTGGAGAGAAATAGTAGAATTGAAATATCTGAAGAGAAGCTACAACAATGTTGGTCCGAAAAACCCGATGTCACTACAAGAAACTGCAGAAAAAATATTTGGAGGTATCATGATCGCATTTTGTTTGTATTAGAATTGTTAATTATCTGAGACCTGCATTTACATACTCTTGCCAAAATCTGTTTATTCATTGAAGTTTTAATTTCTATTGATGCCACTGATATTTCAAAAGGAATAATAATGCTGTATTCCAATGCAAAACTTCAATGAGAACTTTTTCCTAGAGCAAAACTATTAAAAACATTGAGTAATGTTGTGCCATGTGCGGAGTAACATAAATTTACATCATGGACACTACACAATTTTTTTTTTTTTTTGGTTGATAAAAATGGAAACTAAGCAAATTTAGATGTTCATGTGAAATTTTGATCCCTGCCTTTTAATAATTTCAAAGCAAACTCTTATTTACAATGTGCGAACCTCTAATTATATATGTTTGCTTACTTAATTGTCTTCATTGATGTTAATTGTCTCTTTGAACTTTTATAAATAGTGTGGTCACATTTATACTCGTGAAAATATTTTGTTTACCTATATTCCCTAATTAATGTTAATGGTCCATAACTAAAATTTGTGGTTATGACTTTAATAAGGATGGTTTTTGAAAATTAATTTATCATTAAGACTGAGATAGACATCCTGTCATCCCGATGATTTCCAATAAAAAAATTAACTGCTTGAGCTTCTTTTATCATACTTGACTTCAATTTGCAGTATCATACTTGGCTTTTCTAAATGATTAATCATACTTGACTTCAATTTGCAGTATCGAGGTCTACATTGAAACGAACAATAAAAGAATTGGGTGTCGAGAAGTGGCCAAGAAAAGGAAGAAAACAACAGCCTGATGCAAAGAAGAGGAAAACAAAACAATACAGCACCATTTGAAAGTTATTGCTTCACAACAGAATGTGGTGAACCTAGGTAGTTCAGCAGCTCACACGGAAAATGTGCAGTGTATAATGGGATCAGACCTGCATTTGGAAGAGCCCTTAATTGAAAGCCATATGGATATCCAGCAACAAGTCCAAGGGCATCTGGAAGGCGCTCTTCATACAACTGAAAGTTCAGGCACAATTGTTGTAAAAGCCACTTACAAGGAGCTTTCAGTGAGAATTGTTTTCTCTTTGACTTTACCGATTAATCAACTAATTGAAGAAATAGGCATGAAGTTCCAACTTGAGTTGAACAAATATAGATTGCTTTATCAAGATGAAGATAAAGAGTGGATGATGCTGACTAGTGTGGAAGATTTGAAGTATGCTTCGAATGTTGCTGAATCATTGGGAACCAAGTTTGTTAGATTGTCTGTTATTTGACTATGTTGTTTAATAATGTGCTTCCATTTATTTGAGTGATTTAAGTGTAACACTCCAAAGTTGACCTAAGTATTGTAGAGATGTTTGTCTGTTATGAACAAAAAAATTGTCGTGATGTAACTCAATAACTTTACTGCTCTACTGAATAATACCAGTACATGAATATTTTTTATTTTTTTGTGATGGAACAAGAACTTTGTGATAAATTTTTAGATGTTCATTATGTGAAATTTTTGATCCCTGCCTTTTAAAAATTTCAAGCAAACTCTTATTAACAATGTGCGAACCTCTAATTATATATGTTTGCTTACTTAATTGTCTTCATTGATGTTAATTGTCTCTTTGAACTTTTATAAATAGTGTGGTCACATTTATACTCGTGAAAATATTTGTTTACCTATATTCCCTAATTAATGTTAATGGTCCATAACTAAATTTGTGGTTATGACTTTATAAGGATGGTTTTTTGAAAATTAATTTATCATTAAGACTGAGATAGACATCCTGTCATCCCGATGATTACCATAAAAAAAATTAACTGCTTGAGCTTCTTTATCATACTTGACCACAATATGCAGTCTCGAGGTCTACAATGAAGCGAAGATTGAAAGAATTGAAGCTGTTGTGGCCATCAAGCAAAAAAGGAAAGCAACATCTTGATGATGCAAAGAAGAGGAAACATAATAGTAAAGCACCATTTGGTAGTGATTCCACACAGCAGAATTTGGTGATTCCTACTAATTCAACAGCTCAAGCGAAAATTGTTGGGGCCGTATAATAGGAGCAAACCAGCTTACGTTGCCAAATCATGTATCATCCAACTCTGATGTTGTTGGCAACTTGGCCCGGACACAATAGTGGAAAACGTTAGAGGGAACTTAATGGATACTCAAGGCAATATGGATTGTCAGCATGGCGAAGAGCATTATCTGGATGGTGCAAATGACCAAGGGCATTTGGAGGGCGCTCTTCATTCAACTGAATGTAATCGCGCTGCGACACTAGAAGAAACTTTCGATCCAATGGTAATTGAAAAGCCATATGGATACCCATCAACAAGCTCAGGGCATTTGGAGGGTGCTCTTCATTCAACTGAAAGTAATCGCGCTGCAACACTAGAAGAAACTTTCGACCCAATGGTAATTGGAAGCCATATGGATATCCAGCAACAAGTCCAAGGGCATCTAGAAGCGCTCTTCATACAACTGAAAGTTCAGGCACTATTGTTGTAAAAAGCCACTTACAAGGAGCATTCAGTGAGAATTGTATTCTCTTTGACTTTACCGATTAATCAACTAATTGAAGAAACAGGCATGAAGTTCCAACTTGCTTTGAACAAATATAGATTGTTTTATCAAGATGAAGATAAAGCGTGGATGATGCTGACTAGTGTGGAAGATTTGAAGTATGCTTCGAATGTTGCTGAATCATTGGGAACCAAGTTTGTTAGATTGTCTGTTATTGACTATGTTGTTTAATACTGTAAAACTATTGCTTATAGTTGACATATTTTGACTCATGTAATTAAATGTTGTTACTCCGTGTTACTTTTTCCCTTCTTAAAAGTAGGAATAGTAATGTGAGGATTAATAAGAGAGAAGTAAAAGGAGGGAAGAAAATAAGATTTCCATTATTTTCTAAAGGAAAATATTTTCCACCGTATGTATTTAGAGAGTGATGAAATGGGAGATATCATAAAAGTATAAATCTTATGAATATAGAGAGATAAAATAAATATTACGAAGTACAAGCTTAGAGAATCAGAGTGTAGAGGAAAATGAGTCTTGTTATTCTCACACAAAGATGTTAATTATGGGTCAGGTCATTTCTGGTTGTTTTGTGTTTTGAGTCTGTAGGGTTAAGATCGGGTTGCGTCACTTTGGGTTTCGGGTCGCTTTGGGTATCGAGTTAATTTGGGTATAAGATCAATTTCGGGTTAACATTTTTGGGTTAATTTCGGGTCATGGATCGGGTTAGGATTGCCGGGTCAATGTCGGGTGAATGGGTAATTATTTAGTGAGGTCCAAGTTTTTTTTATTTTTTTTTTATTTTTCAAGGTTCAGGTTCAATACACAACTAGTTTTTATTTCATTATTTTTTTTTTAAGAAAATAAGGTTCAGTTCAATATACTTCGTACAACTTAGTGAACTAGGGTTGATTGTGGGGTCCAGAATAGCTGTGCTGCATTATTAATCTGATAATCTCTATGGGTTGTTCATCAATCCCTATCCACCTCACTTTTTTTTTTTTTTTTTTTTGGGGGGGGGGGCGGTGGGAAGAAATAGGAGAATAATGTAGGTTCAGGCTCAAAGTTTTTATAAATTGGTAGCTGCTTCTCAATTCTCATATACTAGTACAGTACGTATTCAATATTTCATTCAAATCCTGAAAGTTAGAGTATCCCTGCTATACAAAGTGACTCTGCAACTATGGAAAGTGAACAAGGAAATTATGAGCATGAGCAGAACCAAACCCTTCAAAATGACATCAAGGGTTACAAAAGAAAAGAAATTTCACTAGAGACGCTTCAATCATTTTGGTCCAAAAATATGACATTCCAAGAAGCTGCAGAACAAGTTGGAGGTATGTTACTTTATGATTAAAAATTTTGGTCCTAGAACAAATTTATGTTATGTGCTTTTAATTCCATGAATTTGTTCAGCAAATTGTAGTTAAATAAAAATAGTTTATGTTTTGATTCTTGGTCTTTCTTAAATGACCACAATTTGCAGTCTCGAGGTGTACAATGAAGCGAAGATTGACAGAATTGAAGCTGGTGTGGCCATCAAGCAAAAAAAGGAAGCAACATCTTGATGATGATGCAAAGAAGAGGAAACACGATAGTAAAGCACCATTTGGAAGTGATTCCACAACACATCAGAATTTGGTGAATCCTTCTAATTCAACTGCTCACGCGGATATTGTGGGGAAGGGTATAACTGGATGCGACCGGCATATGTTGCCAAATCATGTATCATCCAACTCCAACGCTGTTGGCAACTTGACCATGGACACAAGAGTGGAAAACGTTAGGGAGAACTTAATGGATAATCAACGTTCTGAAGAGCATTAGAATGGATGATGCTGACTAGTGGAAGATTTGAAGTATGCTTCGAATGTTGCAATCATTAGAAACCAAGTTTGCTAGATTGTCTGTTATTGACTATGTTCTTTAATAATACTAGTGCTTATACTGGCTTAAGTCAGTTAACATTTGTGCTCTGGACTAGCAAAGAGTATGACTATGGGCCGTTTATTTAGGCCCCGGTTGATTGTTTTCAATAAAACATTAGTTTTCATGAACATATAGTTTCTAGGAAAACCACAACTATAAATTAGTTCTCCTGATTAAATAATTTCCTGCTGAAATATTTTTCTTTCGAAAATTCTAAACCTGGGCATCGTGCCGGGCCGGGCCGCCGCGGGCACGTGCTCCGGCGTGCCGTGCCGATCGTGCCGCCGTGCCCAGGAAGTCGTGTCGTGCCGTGCTGGCCATTCTCACAGGCCAACCCACGGCCTGGCACGGCCCTCATGCCTGGCGGGCTCGTGCCGTGCCGGCCACGTGCCAGCCTGGCGGGCCGGCAGCGGGCTGGCAGTTTCCAACCTTTTTTTTTTTATTTTTTTTTTAAAAAAAGTGACAACATTTAACTTATATTATAATGTATATAAGTTATAAAATTATAATTATAATTATAATTTTTATAAGTTATAAGGTTATAAGTTTTATAATTATAAGTTGAATATTTATGTTTTATAATTTATATATTCAATATTTATATTTATATATTTACTCTATACTATTACTTTAAAATTTAATGTTTATGATTTATTAAATATAATTTTGTATTAGTAATTGGTATAATTTTATTTTTTTTAATACGAATTTACAAATTATAACAAAACGGGGAAAAAAAGGCAAATTGGGCTTGGATGTGAATAATGCGTACTTCATATTATTATTATTACTTGAGTTGAGAAAATTGTACAATGATAAAAATCGTACAATGATGGTATTAAACAAAAATTGGAAAATGATAATATTGATAATGATTAAAATCGTACAATATACAAAAATTGTTTATTCTTCTTCTTGCTCGTCTTCGTCGTCGGCTTCGGCTTCGGCTTCATCGGCTAGTTGGATAGATTGGGAACTAGCTGAACCCGAACGGTCGGAAGCGGAGGTTCCTTCATCGTTGTCGTTGTCCTCGTAAGAACGGTCTTGTGAGCGATTTTCCGCATCCAACCAATCTTTGAAACACACGCACATTTCTAGTATTTCGGGTTTTAGACTTGTTATTTTATCGTCCAGAACCCTTCCGGATGCGCTGAAAGCTCATTCGGAGGCAACAGAGGAGACTTGGATACCAAGAATGTCTCGTGCCATTGCCGCCAAAGTTGGATGCTTCGTGCTTTGTTGTTTCCACCATGCAAGGAGGTCGAGGCTGTTAATCTCATCGTCGTCCATGCCTTTGGTGAAGTCATAACTCAGGTACATCTGCAACTCCGAGACGTCGCTTTGCGTTCTCCTGATTGATGAATCACCTGAAAACCTTGAAATTAAG